TTAAGGAATATGGCATTGCAGCACCAGACACAAAGAACCCACTTTCTGATCCCTACCCGTTCAACTTGATGTTTCAAACATCCATTGGCCCATCTGGTTTGAGCACTGGGTGAGAATTTCATTGCTGTTTATCTAACAGTCTTTTCTTTATGGTGCTGTTTTCTACTAATCATGATTTATGAAATTGCTAACTTTGAAATGCTTGAGAATTTGTTTTGGCTGGTAAGCCCTTTTTTTAACCTTCTTGATAAGCTACTGATATTCCTTTATTTTATAATTCAGTTCTCTTTTGTTTTAGTCTCAACTCCTGAGAATCATATTCAAATTTTGTGCTCCAGTTATATGCGTCCTGAAACTGCGCAAGGAATTTTTGTGAATTTCAAAGACTTGTACTATTACAATGGGAACAAGCTCCCCTTTGCTGCAGCTCAAATTGGTCAGGCTTTCAGAAATGAGGTTTAAACCTTCTTTTAACAGTGATTTATAAATGCATGCTTGTTTTCAAGCTGCCTGTTGGCTCTTTTACTGTCAGAAGGTTTATTAACTTCATGCTCTAAATTTCATCTCATGCACAGATATCTCCTCGCCAAGGCCTGCTAAGAGTACGAGAGTTCACACTTGCAGAGATTGAGCACTTTGTTGATCCTGAGGACAAGTCTCATCCAAAGTACTCCGAAGTTGCAAATTTGGAGTTCTTGATGTTCCCAAGGGAACAACAGATGTCTAATCAATCTGCTAAGAGACTTTGCCTTGGTGAAGCCGTTTCTAAGGTTAGTTTATTTTGATCGTTTTTCTATATTGCATCTTCCAAGACATATTCTCTCCTTGTGCCCCCTTCTCATCCATAAGCCCTCTTCTTGGAAATGGTCCAGGGAATTGTCAACAATCAAACTCTTGGCTACTTCATTGGGAGAGTATATCTCTTCCTAACTCGACTTGGTATAGACAAGGAACGTTTGCGGTTCCGTCAACATCTTGCCAATGAAATGGCCCATTATGCCGCAGACTGTTGGGATGCCGAGATTGACTGTTCCTATGGGTGGATAGAGTGTGTTGGTATTGCAGATAGATCTGCATATGACCTAAGTGCTCACTCAGTAAGACTTCATGAAACCTTCCAGCTTATTTGATGTATTTTGTTTTTGGACACTACCTTTATAATTGTAAACCAGCGATGCTGATGGAAACTTGCTTTACTTTCCCTTAATAGGAGAAAAGTGGTGTTCCTCTTGTTGCTCATGAGAAATTTTCAGATCCTAGAGAAGTGGAGGTATTGCTTGTTATTATTTGTCGCTTATTATGTCCATTGTGTGTGATTGGAAGAGTGGCAGTAACACAAACAAGTCCTTAAAATTCTACTTTTTAAGATGATTATGGATGTTAATTTCAGAAATTGGTTATAGCCCCAGTAAAGAAAGAACTAGGTCTTGCATTCAAGGGAATGCAGAAGAGTGGTTGAAGCTTTGGAGTAAATTTAATAGAAATGAATTCTTTACAAATTTTGACGTCATTACATTTTATGTAGTCTGCTGCCCGCAGCATTACAA